TTTCTCTCTCTCTCCAGTACCTCATTACGTAGCCCTGACTAACCTGGAGCTCACTACAATGAAGAGGGCAGTTGGGATCATAGACATCCTCCTGTCTCTGTCTCTGTGTGCTGGCTGGGCTTCAAGGTGTGCAGCACCTTTCTCAGCTTGTGTGGTGTTTATCATGAGATTAACATGCATCCATCACTAAACTGACTGTGTTTGTATCTTTAATCATGTTTTTCTCCTCATGACTTTTACAGATTTTACACACTGCTGATAAAGAATTTGCCCCACTCCCAACACTATAGGGAAAGAAGGGAGGGGAGGTCACTCACCTATTATATTCAGCTGGATGGGGTCACTCCTCTTGGAACTGACTGGATTGGAGACCTCACACTGATACTTCCCGGAATCCTTCCTCTTGACAGGGTCTATGCTGAGGTTGCTGTTGTTCAGAGACAGCTTCATCCTATCTGTGAACTCCAGACTCTGTCCATTGAAGAGCCAATGGATGGAGATCCCGCTGTCATTTGAGGAGCAGTTCAGGGACACAGAGTCCAGTTCTTTGACTGTGGTGTTGCTGATCTGGATGGAGGGTTTAGTCACTGGCTCTGTGGATAAATAGTGGAGGGGACAGCTGAGAATCCTTCATCCTCAGAGATCTCAGCCAGCTCACAGGGCCCACAGAATGACATGGATCACATGTTTGGATTCAAGATACAATCTGTAAAGAGAGAGCTGGATCTTCTGCCTACCCAGACCCCCACATTGACCCTTGACTCAGGGTATGTATGCAGGACCCACACTAAGAGACCCTTCAGTCCACATGTCCAAAAATCTCATGGAGGGAGAATGTTTTCCTTATTGACTGCTGTGCAAATTCTTGCTCACACTTTCTGTGAGTGTGAACAGTCAGGTCCCTCCATTATAAAACAGCCTTTTGTTCCTTTTTCATTAAATAATGTGTCAATGGGGTTCAGATGGTCCAGCTAATCATAAAAGTGTTGAAGCCTACACGTCAGGGCTGGGAGATATCCGAAAATGGAATTTTTATTTGAGCCAGGCAGTGGTAACACATGCCTTTAATCCAAGCACTCAGGAGGCAGAGGTAGGTAGACCTCTGTGAGTTTAATGCCAGTCTGGTCTACTGAGTGAGTTCCAGGCAGGCAGCAAAGTTACACAGTGAAACCCTGTCTCAAAAAAACAAAATAAATAAATATATAAAATAATTTCTGTTTGATGGTAAACTTATTCCTGATCATGGAGTACTAAATACCACAAAGAAGACATGAATGCCCATAGTGTTGACCACTGCCTGCCGCTCTAATCTTCCATAGAGGTTTTTTTTTTTTTTTTTTTTTTTTTTTTTTTTTTTTGAGAAACGGTCTCACTATGCAGCCCTGGCTAACCTAGACCTCACTACAAAGACCACAGTGGTTGGGAACTCATTGACATCCACCTGTCTCTACCTCTGGTATGCTGGCTGGGGTTGAAGCCATGGAGCACCTTGCTCAGCTTGTGTGGTGTTTATCAAGAGATTAACATGAATCCATCACTAACATGACTGTATTTGAAGCATTTTTTTTCTTTGGTTTTATGAGAAAGAGTTTATCTGTAACTTTGGAGTCTGTCCTGGAACTAACTCCTGTAGACCAAGTTGGCACAGATATCCACTTGTGTCTGCTTCCGGATTGCTGGGATTAAAGGCATGTGCCACTACCACCGGGCTGTATTTGAATCTTCATCTTCTTTTACTCCTGATGCCATTTACCCATTTTGGAAACTGCTAATGAAGAATTTGCCCTACCCTCAACACTATGGGGTAAGAAGGGAGGGGAGATCACTCACCTATTATGTCCAGCTGGATAGGGTCACTCCTCTTAGAACTGACTGGATTGGAGACCTCACACTGATACTTCCCGGAATCCTCCCTCCTGACAGGGTCTATGCTGAGGGTGCTGTTATCCAGGGACAGCTTCATTCTATCTGTGAACACCAGACTCTGGCCATTGAAGAGCCAATGGATGGAGATCCCAGTGTAATTTGAGGAGCAGTTCAGGGACACAGAGACCAGTTCTTTGACTGTGGTGTTGCAGACATGAATGGAGGGTGTAGTCACTGGCTCTGTGGATAAACAGTGGAAGGAACCAGGTGAGAGTCATTTACTCTCAGAGATCTCAGCCAGCTCACAGGGCCCACAGAATGACATGGCCCTCTGGAAGATCTCATGTTTGGGTTCAAGATACAATCTGTAAAGAGAGAGCTGAATCTTCCTCCTACCCAGACCACCCACAGTGATCTTCAAGTCAGGGTATATGTGCATGTTCCACACTAGGATTCCCTTCAGCCCACATGTCCAAAAATCTCATGGAGGGAGAATGTTTCTCCATTTATTTTTGTGCAAATTCTTGCTCACACTTTCTATGAGTTTAAAGAGTCATTATGAAGCAGAATTCTGTTACTTTTTCATTAAATAATGTGTCATGGGGTCCGATGGACCAGCCTATCTTAAAGGTGTTAAAGTCTACACCTCATGGATGGGAGAAATCCCCAAAAGGAATTTTTATTTGAGTCGGGCAGTGGTAACACATGCCTTTAATCCAAGCACTCAGGATGCCGAGGTAGGTAGACCTCTGTGAGTTTAATGCAGTCTGGTCTACTGAGTGAGTTCCAGGCAGGCACCAAAGTTAAATAATGAAATCCTGTCTCAAAAGTACAAAATACATAAATAAATAAAATTATTTGTTTGATGGTAAACTTATTCCTGATCATAGAGTACTAAATACCACAAAGAAGACATGAATGCCCACAGTGTTGACCACAGCTTGCTGAATTAATCCTCCATACTGTTTGTTTTTTTTTTTTTTTT